TACAGCTTGTACAGTGGTCCGCTGTTGGACGTCAAGAACCAGCGATGCTAGATATTCAAATCACATACGTGGCTGGCATTATGTCAGTCGTTTGGCCCGTGCTCTCAACTTTTCTCAAAGGGTATATATCCATAGTTGCTACCACCTTATGTTTATTTTCGATTAATTTAAATTACCTTAAAATATGCTTTGTTTAATGTGTATTTGAATTCAAAGTGACCCTGTGTAGGAAAAGAAGGTAGAAATCAAACCGAAGGCTGACCGAATTAACGCTGCGTCTTATTCGACCGGCATGGTCGCTGCTGGCTTCACGTCAACCGTTATGGAACCCCTGACCGAACATGAAGCGGCGATCATAGACGAGGATTCGCTTGTTTACGCCCACGTGAAGAAGAAGGGATACGTGCGTCTCGTTACTAACTTTGGACCGTTGAACTTGGAACTCTTCTGTAACATGGTGCCGAGGGCGTGTGAAAATTTTATCGTGCATTGTAAAGAAGGCTACTACCGCAACACCCATTTTCATCGCTTGATCCGTAACTTTGTGGTGAGGGTTTTTTCTGCAAACATTTTAATTGCAATTTTCCATCTTTTAGTGTGAAGCGTGAGTGAAATCGTTTGAATTTGAATTAAATGTAGTCAGTTTGTTTATAAAAATATAATACACAGCAAGGAGACTTTTATTCAGATAGACTTAATGGGTAGAAATTTCATTATTTCAGTTAATTAAAAATCCGATCAACATCCGCTTCCTTCGTTAACCCACCAGCATAACCGGCAGTTATGTGACCAAGACTTCTAGGTCGAAAGAGAGACTGCCCGCTTTTATATACGAAAACTACAAATGAACATAAAGGCCATTCCGCGACCTCTGGCCACCTGATTGGTATATGTTCAGATCTGACATTGCCACGCTTTTTAATATGAGCCATAGAACTTCTTAGATTCGCTAACTACCGTTCCCGTAGAATACCTATACTGATGTACGTACAGTCGTGAAGGAAAAACCTACTGAATAAATTAATGATTAAAGTTACAGATCGTACATCCATTCTTGCCACCCTTCGTTTATCTAACAGTTTTTGCTTTTTTGAGGCTGTAGGGAAATCTCCGATTATCTCCCTGAAAAGAGAGGTGATCACTTCATGTAGAATATCAAACTCAGGCCAAAAAGAGAATAGCGAGGTTTACTGCCTAAAAGAGGTTTGAGGCATTGGGATTTGATGTTGCCCTCTCTTGGTTCCAGAAAGACCGAATTCATGTATGCTTTCTCTTGTGTTTGTTTGTGCGGTCTTATTTTTGCTTGTTTCAGATTCAAGGCGGAGACCCAACAGGAACCGGTAAAGGCGGGGAGTCTATTTGGCAGAAACCGTTTGTGGATGAGTTTCGACAAGAGCTGAGTCACAATACTCGTGGAGTTCTAAGTATGGCAAATTCCGGTCCTAATACGAATACGTCTCAGTTGTACGTCAGTTGTAAATTGCTTATATGTTTTTGATGATGCATTTCAGCTTCCTCACCTTCCGCTCATGTAAACAACTCGATCGTAAGCATACCATCTTTGGAAAACTTGTAGGAGGCTTTGAGACGCTGAACTTGATTGAAGCTGTGGACG